CTCTAAATTTGCCAGTTGCTAGTACAGTTTTTCTCAACATGTTTTTCTGTGTTGAAAAGAAATATACCAACCAGCTCTGCTCTTTCTCTTTCAGACACTTTTCAGGTTGTTGGTCCAGCTGCTCCTGTAGTTGTGTCCCCTGGTGAAGACGCTGTCCTGCCCTGTTACCTCTCACCCAGAGAGAATGCAGAGGACCTACAGATCAGGTGGTTCAGAGACGATTATGCAGCTCCTGTGTGTTTGTACCAGAACCGCAGGTATATCTTTGAGGATCAGATCCCATCATACAGGGGAAGAGTTGAACTTTTCCCAGGGAAGCTCTTCAAAGGCAATGTGTCTCTGAGACTGAGAGATGTGAGGCGCTCTGATCATGGGCTCTATAACTGCCTGGTTCGATTTCCTCGGTATTATGAAGTCGCTGTTATTGACCTGGGTGTTAGAGGTGAGTGGTTTTCCACATGTTTTAATGTTCTTTCCTCTAACACATGTCTCTAACATACACAACTGAACACAGTACAGCATGAAACTACACAAGTACAGTCTACATCTCTTTTGTTAGTCAGGATCAAACAACACAACACTGATCACATAAAGTGTGTTTCTAGTCTCACATCACTGATCTCTGTTCCTGACCTCTGACACTGAACCTCCTCTCCTGCACTCTTGCAGACAAGATGATCACCTTAATTACAGATGTGATTGTGATTCTAATAATACTGTTACCTGACAAATTAATGCTGTTAATTTGTTAATACTGTTAATACTGTTACCCGACAAATTAACTCTGTGTTTGAGTGTAGAAAGTCACCATATTTTAAATTTAAAACATTACATTAAAAATCTAAAAGAAAATTTATGGCATTATCTTTATCATTTCTGTGTTTTGAAAGAACAACATTGAAACAGCCTTTTACTCCAGTGTGCTTTTATCAGCTGTGAAATGTCTCCTGTTGTGTCGAATCCACAGCCCTGGGCTCCCAGCCCTCAGTGTCTCTCCACTCCCCTGGAGGAGATCAGGCCCAGCTGCTGTGCAGATCAGAGGGCTGGTTCCCTCAACCTGCAGTGATCTGGACAGACAGGGATGGAAACGAGGTGACATCACAGCCCCCCACAGTGGACACGGACAGTCAGGGGCTCCTCAGTGTCAGCAGCTAC